GACGCTCCTTCTGTACTTTCTGAGGGTACTGCTATCGTGCGTCCTACTTCTTCTCACTGCTGCTTTTTTGTTAGAGATTTAAAGTAGGCTTTGATTTCACAAAGAAAAATTCCCCGACTATGGCAAGCTGTCTTAACACTTTTGTGCATAATTATAGAAGAGAAAGGCAGAGACTTGGAGCCCTTTCGATGAGTGAAAAATATTTTTTCGCGCTCTGAACGCATTAATCTGTTCTACATATACGCGTTACAAGTTTTAGAGACTAGAATTTTCCTCCAAGTGTATTTATTTCCACTGGCTAAAGCAAGAGCCTATAGCTGTAACTAAGGATGTCAGATAAAAGTTGTCATATGTATGTATGCCAATGAACTAAGTAATGAATATACGAGGTCAAACACCTAAAAATATACATACACAATTGTCTACATACTCATATATAGATATGTATGTACGTAACTAATCACATTTGAAGTGCCTACGGCTTGTATTGAGTGCCCTGATGCGCCTACGCCTTGCTACTACTACTACTACTACTACTACTACTACTGCAACATATGCGTATGCCTTTGGCTACTACTACTACTACTACTACTACTACTACTGCTTAAGTGGCATGCCACAATCGCTGTGTCTTCATCAGACAATATATGAATGTACTTTGCAACAAACACTTAACGTGCATACAAAAAAAAAAAAAACATACCAAATGCCATATGTTCATATGAATTTGTATGCATGTGTGTGTTTGTGTGTGCTTGCAACTCAATTATATGTGACGCTTGTGGTTTGCCGCAAAACAAAAAAGCGACGCCTACAATATCAGCGATTTCAATACAGACACACACACACACACATACACATATACATACGAGTATGTGCATATATATGTTAGTGTATAGCACAACATGCCAAGGATTACCCACAGCATTTTTCATTGAGGCATTATTGCTGCTACATACTACATACACACATATATGTACATATATTTTTAGATATATATATTCATATGTAAGTTTAGCTGCTCAATATTGCAACATATTCGCGCCGTTGCATAGCACCCGCAGGCATACCACCACCCAGCCCCCAATGGCTTGAGTGACAGAAAGAACTTAATGAATTTTTTTTCGTACAAAGCCAACTGTGAGTTAGTGTGCGTGCGTCTGTGTAGCATTTTTTCTGCATTGCTCCTTAATTGCTCTATTGTTTCAGCCCATTTGCTCGGCTGCTGCGTTGAAAAAAATATCAATTTTTTTTTTTTATATTCTCAATCAAATGTTGATTGTGCCACAGCGCCATCGTTTATTGCACATTTTGATAAGTGCTTTTGTTGTTGTACTAGTATTGTGCGTTAATATTTATTGCATTTCCTTTGGCCTAATGTAATTTTGTGAAATCATACCGTTGATAATAATTTATTTCAAACACTTTTGCACTCTCTTCCAATCTTCATAATCGTTAATTGCACCTCCTGCAAAGGACAAATGCGCAGATTTTGGCTAGGAAGTGCGCAATTAAGCACATATGTTTGAATTTATTTACAATTGGTTTATAAAAATTTAGTTATTTTGCTTCGTTAATTGCTTTGAAATTCTTACAAACATCAATACGAGTAGATACTTGTATGTAGGTATGTATGTTTGGCTTAATTAATTCTTAATTACGCTGACATTTTGTTTGAATGACTTAAGTGTTAATAAATGGGAAAAAAGTTTATTATTTTAAGTGGTTAGATTTGTCGAAATGTTCTTCGATAAGCTAAGCTAATAAATATTTATTACGTAATCAAGTTGTCTATATGTTTGTATGTATGTGTAACTGTTGGCAGGAAGCAGCGCATGATGTGCCAAGCGCTTCAAGCCCATAATTTTCGGATTTTATTTATTTGTTTTTTTTTTTTGAGGTACGAGATCGTTGGTGGCCGCAATACCCCATCGGTTAGCAATGCGTACTAACATTCGGTAGGCCACGATTCGAGTTCTGCTTCAACCAATATCCAAAAATAGTAGAAAATTAATTAAAAAATTTAAGTTTATTTTTCCGATTGCGGTCGCCCCTCGACAGAGAATGTCAACGCCTTCGAAGGTATTTATGGCATGAAAAAAGCTACTCATAAAAGATATTACAAACTGATATTCGTTAGGCTGGAGTTCCTGCCTTGGTTCGACCAACACCCTATTGCTATTGTGGAGCAGCGAATCGAAGAAAACCCGATCGAGTCGATCTCCCTCGCGCGCATCTATTGGAGCTGCCCCTATCCACTTGAAATGAAGTTTTTGCAGAGGCATCTTAGTTTGCGAGCTGACAAAGTCCAACACGAATTAGAATTTTAGTCGAACGGTCATCAAGCGCGTCCCACGTTCGGTGAATTGGTCCAAAACGAGATGGCCATTGCTTCTGATATTCACAAGAAAATTTTGTTCAGCATTGAAACTGACTGTTGTTTGAGTGGTTAGGTTCATACGCAAAATTGGGCCCCCCCCTATAATGTTACAGTCAATTGGAAACGCTACAGAGCTATGATTAATGACCCCCCCCTGTCTACATTGAAGGATGTTGATGTGAGCGACCGTTGGTTCCTACAGGATAGCGCTACATGCGATACAGACGACGAAGCAAATTAATTGATTGAAGGAAACTTGTGTTAAGCGCGTTATCTCGCATTGTGTGGGTGTGGGGTGGGTTGTAACCCCGCTGAACTATTTTTTTTTTGGGCTAAGTGAAGTCGCTTGCCTATGCAGATAAGCCCGGGACGATTGGCGCCTGGGAAGATCGGGATTTTCGGCTGGAACTCATTCGAGCCAGTCCATAATAATTTTTAAAAAATAATGGCAAAGATAATTTCTTGACCAGAATATTGAATTATATTCATTTTATTTCTTTTTCATTTGAAATGAGAAAGGTTCCAAAAGTTTTACAAACTCCGGCAAAGTAGAGCCTGCTGACCGCGTTACCACAGCGATTGCGTACTTAATCATCACCCAAACAACTTCATCAGAAAATAGCTCGGATTCAGATAGGCCAGGTATTCTCTTACTAGTCATGAGTCCATCTAAAGTAAAAAAAGTCGCCTAACTGTCAGGATTAATGCCGAACTCCATAATCGAGAGCAGACTACACCGCTCTTTTCCTTCAACCAGTTCGAACTGTCCACTGAGCTAAGGAAGGGATGAAGGTGCTGAAGTGCTAAAACCTGAAGAACTAATTTTGGATTTTCGTCCAAGCTTTTCCATTAGGATTTATGGTTCTGCTGAAAATCTGTTAAAGAAGTAGTGCCGTACGGAAGGTCTTGAAATTGCGGCTTTTTCATGTAGGATGAAAAGGAGCAGGCAGGGTTTATTAAGGGTACAGACATCAGGCCTCCTGAAAAGCAATACCCAGAATCGCCGAATATAAAAAGTAGATCAGGATGAAAAAAATAATAATAATAGAGAATAAGAAAACTGTAGAATAATTATTCTCGAACAACACTTCTTGGACTCAGATATGGTAGAATATTGATCAGATTTTCATCATGCATTGAACCTTATAAAATACACATGAGAAAAGCATGGGCTCATACCACCTCAAGGTCTGCTTACCACAGGGTCTACAATTGAGCTCGTAGTGAATACGGAAAAAACGGCACATCTGTTGTCATCGAACAATGTATCAGTGGATACGCAGCTTGGCTCACACGACATCGTTGACAAAAATAATTTTGAAGGCGTAGTTACTTTTCTCTGTCTAGCAGTCAGTATTAGTACCCATAACAGTGGCTGTGGACGATGATAACAACTGATGAGTTGGCTGGCGCTCGGAGCATTCGGGTGAAAGCCTTTACGAAAGATTATTTGGCCTTGATGCATTTATGTTTCCTAGTATTGTAATGACGATGGCACGGTGGGTTGTACGAGTTTTACAATGACATTGCCACAGTTCGGGAACTATTAGATAGCCAACGTAGTCAGGCTAGGTAATGTCGTCCGAATGGCTGACAGTACACTAAGAATTGAAAGTTTCTGGAAATTATTTTTTTCGATATTCGCTGTTTAGTTCATCATGAATTTGTTCCAACGGGGCAGACTTTTTTTAATGGGTATTATTTGAGTATTTTGAGACGTGTGTCAACAATTCTTGGAATTTTCATGATGATAATGCACCGAGCTGCAGTTGTGAATGATTTTAAGACCAAAAACTCATTCAATACCATCGATCAACTACCGTATTCACCAGATTCGGCCAAATGAGATCTCAAGTTACCACTCCGTGGTACCCGTTTCGCCCCGATTACGGCCTTAAAAGAAAATTCACAGAGGAAACTGAGGTGGATGTGGTAGAAGCAGGGAAGTGAAAGATCAAGGGGATGAGGATCTATCATCAGCTGATGTTTCAAATTGATGCTGAGTTTCGAAAAGAAAAGACGACTGACTAGCTATTTGTTCACAGTAGAGCCGAGGCAACAATACTAGCTGTAAGTCTTGATCGACTAAGCAGAAAAGGAAATAAAAGGATAACTAAAACTGAATTACTTGAGGAAGATACACACATCGTCTTTTAAGCTAAAAAACCGCTTAAAAACCCAATAATGATTGAAATTAATTTAACTTCTACATATGCATAACCGGCTTGTTATGAATAATCACACTGCTCTAGGGGATTATATGTACATATGTATGCCTTTGGACACACTTTATGCATTTCATGTATTGTCATACATACATAAATCCTTTCCGGCATCTAAACGAATGAGTGATACTTAAAATTATATAAAAAAAAATTATGTAAAAGAATAAGTGAGAGAGCGATTAATGGATTGAGGTAATAAAAAAAAAGCAAACCAGAGCAGAGCGACGATGACAACTACATAAATGAATGAATTAAAGCAGAAAAACGCTTTGTGTCAATTTCAATGCGGTTAAAATCGACTAGAGATTTTTTTCAATTTTATATTTTTTTTTTATTTTTATTATTTTTTTTTTAATAAATATATACAATGATATGTAAGCATGCAACATGGAGAAAAAGGAAAAGACAATCACAGAAGAAACCACAAACGTAAAAAAAGAGTGAAGAATAGAACAAGCAGACGCTACTAAATGCCAGGATATATGAGCATACGCAATGATGTTGAATGGAAATTGAAGGGAAAATGTGAGGGAATGACAAGGGAAATAAATCATATTGAATGTTAATGAAGAAAGGAAGTGAGTGAATGTAAGAAATGGGCATGAGATTTGTGTATGCTGTAGATGAAGATGTATGCAACAGACAGATAGGAAGACAAGCAGACAGACAATGCAATATATATTGAGAGAGAGAGAGTGAGAGAGAGAGCGAAGCAGTCTAACACGCAGCAATGGTGAGGCACAATGAGGCGAGGCTTGTGGTAAGAAGAATCAATAACTGTGAATGAGATATGTGCAACTGCAACACATACTTGCGGTTGTGGTTAATGCATGTGGCATGTTGCACATTGCCACAAACACCAACACATCAGAGTGCATAGCGCACATTCACAGACATGCTCATTCTGCTGCACGCTGCGCTGAAGTAGAAGGGTTTTGCAGCAGCTTCATGGTAATGGCCACCGCAGAGCGATTAAGTTGGAAAATCTGTTTATTATTGAAGAGGTAAGATACAACGCCCGATTGAAAGGAGTGAGTTTTTGTGTTTTGTGTTGCTGATTTTCGTACATTCACAAGCATACACATTACTCACAACAACAAAATGTCACAAAGACAATGCGAAGAAAAAGACAAAAAAAGGATATTGGAAGCTGAAGGTAGGTAGAGGTGTGGAAGAAAGTGGCGCAGAGACTTCACTTGCACCGACACAAAGTAAAACAACAACCAACGTACAACAGCAGATAATAGCAATAAGCGTTGACTGGCCGGAGTTGTCGTTGCACTGAGACCGGATTACGGTGTTTCATGTACACCACAACACCACAGAATTTGTCCCTTCGATTATTATTTGCAGTTCTGCTGCTCCTTATAACGCTTGTGTGTGGATGTGTGTGTTTGTGTGGCAACAAGGTGTGTTAAGGCTGATGCTAAAGCGGTTAAGCGATTTGCAAGAAGCTGTCGATACAAGCTCAGACACATACGCATAAGTCCAGCATTGTTCTACTTACATACAAATCGCTTGAATTTTCGGCGTGAGCAACAATACAATACAACCCCCAAAAACTCTACCGCAGCGCTACTGGTTTTTCCGCAGAAAGGACCTCTTTGCATATGAAGAAGCAGAAGAAAAACGAGATATCCTGTGAAAAAGGATTGCTAACGGTTGAATGCAATTCATTAGAAATGTATAAAGCATATGCACTCAAGCATATTATTATCTGCAGCAGCCAAGAAATGAAAGAAAGCAAAAAAAATTGAGGAAAAAAGATAAAGTGATAAGCGCTGACTAAATTGTCGTGGCATATCCTTCGAAGAATGCACCACAACAATGCGGTTGATGTCACGCAGGGAGTTGGGGATTAGTAAGTTGAGTTTGTACACATATCAAGCCAACTGAATGCTGAAGTCAGTTGCTTTTTGCTTAATTCCTGCTTTCATACATTATTTTCTTTATCCCTGTTGTTATTTTTTTTTTTTTTGCAGGATGCGACGCATCAAATCAACATTGACAATCAGTTGACAATGCTCAGTTGATCGTATGGTTTTTTGATGATGATGATGATGCTGATGTTGGCAGTTGATTGTAAGAGATTTTAATATTCTTAATATACTTTGCTTGCAGCTGTGTGGCGGTCAAAAAATATAAAAAAAAGGTATGAAAAGCAGCTGATTTTTGCGAGAAATCTTTTTGGCAGCATATTTTGTGAGGACAAAGAAATCGGACAACGGAAGATTACAGGTAAATTTCAAATTGAATAAAAGGAATTGAAAAAATTTTGTTTACATATATATTAAGCCCTTTTTCAGGAGCGTATTTGAGTAGAATTTTTGATTTTTAAACACGCTATCAGTTTTTGGCAAGGAAAGAGCAGCGAAAATACCTCTCCCCGTTGGTGAATGGGAGTTAATCGAAATTGTTTATTTCTCTTTAACAAACACTGATTTTATTGATTGAAAATTGACAACAGCGCAAAAGGCGGTACATATTTCCAGTAGCGAGATCTAATTATGTATCTGTCAAGATGGTGAAACAACTATTTTATTAATCCAAAGAAAATTGGCAACGTCGTAAAAGCGCCGTTATAAGAAAGTAAAAAAAAATCGGTCGAGAGGTAAATGAAAATTAATAGAAATGGCGATGGTGCTACATCCTTGAAAAAATTATACTTCTCTATTTATAAATATTCTGCAATTTACCTTAACGCAAATTGGCAACAATGCCAATGGAAAATTGGACTGCAGAAAATTTTAACTGTTAATTAATATTTCTCTTTTAGGCACTCTTACGATTAATTTGGGCAAGCTTGTCTCTATGAGACTTCCTAAAGTCAACTTAATCTAATGAGCTTCATCTTAATATACGCTCACCTGGAGCAGTTGTGTAGCGGTCAGAATATGAAATTCAAAAGAAGGAAAACAGCTGATTTTTGCGAGAAATCTTTTTTGGCAACATATTTTTTAAGGAAAAAGAGTCGGACAACGGAAGATTAGAGGTAAATTTTAAATTAAAATAAAGGAAATGAAAAGATTTTGTTCACATATTTTGTAAGTCCTTTTTCAGAAGCGTATTCAAATAGAATTTTTCATTTTTGAAGTCACTACCAGTTTTTGGTCAAGAAAGAAGCAGAGAATATATATCTCTCTCGAGGTGAATGAGTTTTAAGCCAAATTGTTGATTTCTCTTTAATAATCTTTGAAGTTGTTGGCAGAAGAATGGCAACAGCGCAAGGGCGTCGTTACGAGTAAGAGAAACAAATATTTTCAGTATCAGGTGGTGAATATTCATCAGTCAAAACCTTAAAAGTTTCTCTTCTGAAAGAGGTTTCATTTACTGAGCAAAAGTCAAAATGCTTTCTGACAACCGTTGAATTTATCAAGAGAAAATTGGCAACAGCGGTAAAGCATTGTTATGAAAAAGACTTTCTTTCTTACGTAAAATAATTTTAAAAAATTTTTTATGACTACTGTATATAGAAATATTCTAGAATTTCGGAATCTAAAATATGGCAACGTTGCAAACAGTGTTTACTCCTTGAGTCAGACTGTAGAAACTACCTTTACATAGCAAATGAACTCAAATCTGTTGCTGAGTCTGTAAAGGCAATTAACTGAACTGTTTAGCTATCTAATCTTATATATGTGAGACTCCACAGAATGAATCAGTTCAATCGAATCTAATTTTAACTTCAGCTGGGGTAGCTCAAAAATTTTCATTTCTTTATAAGTTGCCTCCTCTGCTATCTGGGATTGTGGGGGGATGAGCTATTTTGTTAGGAGATTTTTTTTTTCTAAAATCGAATTTAAGTAACCCAGTTGTCATATTAACCGCATCGGCATTATTAGTTTATAAGAAAAGATAGCCAATTTGTCCTGATTATTACGCTGGATTCATATTTCCCTGCCAGTGACCGCTATGAGAGAGCAGTGCAAAGAAAGTGGAGAGCATGTTTACTTAAACCCATTGAAATTATTTATATGGCTTTTCAACTGTTGGTGGGTAGATCGCTCTTAATGCGCCATCGACCTCTTTCTGCGGCTCGAAACTCTACACATTCGTATATGCTTTTCCCTGTTCCATTTTATAAGTCATGTTTTCGTTAGTTCTAGGGTTAATCTGTTTCTTTTTTTTGCCAGAAGGAGGCCTTCCTGAAGCGCTTGTAATGAGAATCGTACCTTTTTCGCTTCAGAGCTATGGCCACGGATGTAGATAATAGAAATATAGTTTTTTTCGAACCAGATTCTCAGTTTTTACTAAAGTCGTTATCCCACCTACACCATTTTTTTGAATTGGAATAGTATTAACCTCCCTCAGTGCACCTTACTTCATTCACTTACACAGAGATTCTTCAAATTTTACGCAAAAAAATACAATAAAATAGAATAAAATTTGTGAAATGCTTACAACGACTAATGAAAAAAAACTATGAGTAAAACCAGAGTCTACAAGTTGTTCAAACCTTTCCAAGGAGGTCGTGAAGTCGCTGAAGAGGGCAAACTGATGAAAACCTAAAAAGAGTGAAGAAAATGGTTAGGAACGATCATTGAAAACTTATATGGTTGTGTGAACGGACGCTGGACTGCACCATAAGCGAAATCAGAATTTGGAAGGGCCGATCCGAGCCGTTCAGTACCAAACCAGGTCCTACACAGTGTGACTTTTTATCGTGGTGTTCTTAATAAGACAAGGCACAATCTCTTCGGAACTTGTACAACAACTGGCGTATGCCAATGACATTAATATCATAAGCCTTTTACAACTGCACCGTTAGTTCTGCTTTCCCCAAACGCCTGGTAGTAAACGAGGACAAGACGAAATATTTCCTGTCATCAAACAAACCTTGGGCGCACTTACGGCTTGGCTCCCACGTCACTGTTGACAGTCATATCTTCGAGATCGTAAATAATTTCGTCTATCTAGGAAACGGAATTAACACCAGTAATAATATCAGACTTGAAATCCAGCGAAGAACCACTCTTCCCAACGGATGTTACTTTGGACTGAGTAGGCAATTGAAAAGTAAAGTTCTCTCTCAGCGAACAAAGACCAAACTCTAAAAGTTGCTCATCATTCTCGTTCAACTATGTACATATACGAGGTGTGACAATATGGTAATGAGGTTGTTTATATTGCCACGATTGAGATAACCCTTTTCATTCTCCCGGCACTCTTCTCCCCTCCATTGATATATTTGCCTTCGCTCTAGCTTGTTTAGTTCGGCCGCTGTGTCGTGTTGAGTAAATGTGTGTTCGTGGTGTTCGTCACGAAAACTAGATTATTGCCTTTTTGATAGCCGTGAAATCGTCCACGAAGAATCTCTGCCACCGGAGAATCTAATAGGTGGACAAAGGAACCCAGTTTGAGTCGATTGAGAACATCTAGGCGGCCGGGAGGAGGGTACTCGCGGATATCCCAATCGAAGCGTTACAGAAATGTAACGAAGCATGGGAAACGTGCTGGAATCGTTGTCTAGCTGCCTAAGGGGACTACTTTGAAGGGGATGGCAGAGTCGATGTGCAGTCTCATTACTTCACACCTCGTGTATGGTGCGAAAACGTCGACGATGCTGACATGACGATAGGAGTCTTCGAAAAAAAGTTTTTCGAACGATTTATGGTTCTTTGCGCATTGCCATAAAATAGAAGGGAACCTTAAAGCGCCCTATTCTTACAGCCCATTGCTGTTGGCAAAAATGCATAATCTCTAGGAGGAGCTATTTTGAAGGCGACATCATCGCAGTAGATGAAAAAATAAATAATTTGGTCAGCAAATTGAAATTATAACTAAGAATTGAATTACTCTTCTTTGGCACCTATAAAAGTTTCTAACCGTAAAATAAGTGTAAAAATTATCCGAAAATCTAACAGATAATAGATCTTTCGTCGCAAAGTTCCTATGATTGCAGAATACTTCTGCAGGAAAAAATTAGAATCTAACTTCCTCGACTTCAATGAGGGGAATGTCTCAAATGGAGTGAAGAAATAAAAATAAAAATTGTTTTAAAGTGTGTCTGAAGTAGGTTAAAATTCTTACGAGATTTTTTCTCTATGGATTATAAACTAAAGTACGTAAATACTTAGTTCCAAAATTTAGTTCTCAACTAATAAATAAAAATCAAATTTTCGTAATAAATTTTTTATTTGTTTCTATTTCGATTGAGCCTAATTTTTATCATTCGAAAATTATTCAGTAGTTAATAGAGTTAATAGCTTTGAATTTGTTCTTAATTAGCGTGGCACCTGTGAGTGTTGCTCTTGATTTCTGTAACTCTAAGCACTTGAGAACTCTTAAAATATGCCTTTACAGCTTTTACCACTTAACATTTGACCCAGCAAAGTTCTGAAACCACTAGCAACTAATTGCTTCAATGGAAATCACAGTTACTTCATTTATTTTATTTTATTTTGTTTATTTATAATCTGCCTAATTGCACAAGTCTTTAAAAAGAGGCCTAAAATAAATTAAAAGCGAACAGAGTATTTAATTAACTCATCGCCCAGAAGTTCAGAAAAAAAAAACCAGACAAAAAAATTAGAAAAAAATACAACGAGAATATAAAAGGTTATAAAAAAATGCTTGAATTTGTATTCCCACTCTTTGCTCTCGTGTGAGCGATTTTGGGCAGGTGCAGGTGTGCACGCAGCCACTTTGATGGAAGTAGTTCAAGGCGACGGCCGTACCAAAGGCGCTACATATGTGTTTACCTTACCTACCCTTCGACACTCCCAAAAGCAAAGTAACTCGGCACTATCGCTGCATGTTTTGTCGCTTCTCTTTTTTACGAGCCATAAATGGCTTATTTTTATGCATTTTTTATGTATGTATGTATTTTATTTTACATGTATTAGTGTGTCTCGGCGTACTTCATCAAGTTCTTCTGGGTTCTTTCGGCGTTTGAGGGCAGACAGTAGTAGAGATTAGGCAACAGCCAAAATTTTGTGAAATTATATGACGATGTGTGTATTAATATAAGTAAATGAGCACATGCAATTTCACACGCACGCACACTCATAAGCAAACACAGACGCAAGTGCGCCGTCAACTTGCTTTAGCCGAGACTTAATGCTACGGGAAAATTCTCGTTTTGCGCCTGTGGAAATTTACGAGCAAAAGTGTTTATGAGGCGGTTTTTTCTAATACTGTACTTCATCTTTTTGTTGTTTTTGAACATTTTTTATTACTCATAAAATTGTGTTAAGTATGCAATTCAACGCAAAGAAGTGCAGGGTTTAGTCGCATTTTAGGCGCTTGCACTCATTCAAAAAAATTTTAATTACCAACTCACTTTATTCACTGCAATTACAACTTATTTTGAAAATTTTTTTTTTTTCTTATTTTTGGAAATTGTTTTTCCTTCTCCTGTAATCTTGTTATATTTTCTTTTTATTCACAGAAAAAAATTGTCTTCCAAAAATAGACTAGAAATGCCAAGTTAATTGTTTTAATTTAATTATGTAATCTAGAGTTTTGTCTTCCTTGAATTTTTATCACAAATAATTTAACACACACATACGCATTTACATGCCGTCTTTATTGCTCTTGTTTTCGTACCGCTTGACAAGCTGTTGAAGTCATTAAAACCGCAATGAGCGTTGTAAATATATGTATTTTTTAGTAAATTTCGCTGAGTGTGGCATTTTTATATTTAAACAAACATATATGTATGTACATATACATAAATATATATTTGAATAGAAAATAAACACTAGCACCAAAATTATCTTTATTTAGTTATGTATGAATTTTACTACCACTGAATGCTTGTTTTCATGTGTAAATTGAACTTATCAGCGCATTTAAGAATATTAAAATTCTCAATTAATTTATCAGCGAAGAGGTTTTTTAGTGTTCAAAGTAAGTGTAATCTAACGTGAGTTAAAGATGTCCTTACCTTAATTTAATTCTGACTGTGAGAAAATATAAAAAAAATTTAAATAAAAGTAATTACAATAAGGTAAAATAAAAGGAAATGAAACCAAAATCAAATATAATTTAAAAAAGACCAAGAAAAAAATAAAAAATAAAACAAAAAAGTTAAATTAAACTAAATACAATAATGTAAGATAAAATAAAATAAAATGAAATAAAAATAAAATAAAAAATAAAATTAAAATGATATCAAATGAAATAAGAAAACGAATTAAAATAAAAATAAAATAAAATGAGAAGAAAATATGAAGGAAAATTATTTGAAAAAATAAAAATAAAATGAATATAAAAATAATTAATAAAATAATATATAATAAGATAAAATAAAATAAAACAAAATAAAATAAATTAATATAAAATTAAATAAAAAACTAATTAAAATTAAGTAAAATAAAATGAGATAAAAAAATAAATAAAATAAAATAAAATAAACTAAAATAAAATAAAATAATATAAAAAAAAAAAAAAT